AAGTAAACAGCATCAGATCTTGAGTTCATTTGTCCATCAGATCTTGAGTTCATTTGTCCATCAGATCTTGAGTTCATTTGTCCATCAGATCTTGAGTTCATTTGTCCATAAGATCTTGAGTTCATTTGTCCATCAGATCTTGAGTTGATTTGTCCATCAGATCTTGAGTTGATTTGTCCATCAGATCTTGAGTTGATTTGTCCATCAGATCTTGAGTTCATTTGTCCATCAGATCTTGAGTTCATTTTTCCATCAGATCTTGAGTTGATTTGTCCATCAGATCTTGAGTTCATTTGTCCATCAGATCTTGAGTTCATTTGTCCATCAGATCTTGAGTTCATTTGTCCATCAGATCTTGAGTTCATTTGTCCATCAGATCTTGAGTTCATTTGTCCATCAGATCTTGAGTTCACTTATCCATCAGATCTTGAGTTCATTTGTCCATCAACTTTTTAACAAATCGCACACAATGCGTGAACGTAAATGACCAATTACCCTTAACATGAGACAAAGGCACCGGGGAGTCACAAGGGTGCGTTCTCTCCCCAGTACTGTATTCAAAGTATAAACCGATATATACCGATAATACCCAGAGCCCAAACAACACCGTAACTTAGTGACGGGCTTTATCAATGGGTCGATGAAAAGTTTTTCCTGTTGAACGTCTCAAAAACAAAGAAATTGTTGATTTCCGGAGGGGCAACACCAGATTGCAGATCTTAACATAAAAAAAAATCAAAGTGTGGAGAAGGTAGAGACATATACGAACTTAAGTATCGCCATTAACAATAACCTAAAATGGCATGAGCACGGCACTGTGTGTGAAAAATTCCAACAAAGACTTGCCAATCTTAAAGAAAAAAACAACTGTACACATTCGGCGTAAAGAAACAAACTTATTCTACAGGGCAACATTTGGAGGTCAACTTAATCTCAGTATTACCTTCTGGTGTGGGCATTAATCGTGCGATTACAAACGTTGATTAAACCGATTAATCAAGGAAGCCAGGACCATCTCCCAAAATAAACCTCCTTCACTTGAAGAACTATTTGAAGAAAAATGTTTCTGTAAACCTAAACAAATGTTGGATAATCCATCCAACCCTCTTCATCACAGATAATTAGGATCGGCCCGTTCGGGACAAATCCTTTATCTCAGGGCAAGGACTCGAAGATATGAAAATCTGTAGGAATCTATCAGCGTGCTCTTACAGAGGTTACAAAATAGAAATGGTCTCTGATTAAGTCTCTTTTTAAATTATTGTAACTAATGGAGGTCGAGAAATAATTTAATTTAGATATTTTGTGTTTTAAATTGTTTCAGTTGGATAATGTTGACTTTATTAAATTATGTATTTATTTATGTGCTGAAATGTATCTATAAAATGCAATTAAAAATAGTTAAATATATTTGGAGCATTACAAGAATCTTTTCTTCTCTTATGTCATAGAACACTACTGCATTTAGAGCATTACTGTCATTAGAGCATTACTGTCATTATGACAAAACCCTCATTATAGCACTACTTTCATTAGAGCACCACTGCATTTAGAGATCTCTTGTCATTAGTGCATTGCTGTCATTACGAAAAAACTGTTATTATAACACTACTTTAAATAGAAAACTACTCCATTTTGAGTTTTATTGTCATTACCGCTCCACTTTTATTAATGCATCGCTGTCATTAGAGCACTACTGTCATCACAAAAATAATGTTATTAAGGGAAAACTGCCATTAGATAGATAACTACTGTAATTAGAGGATTACTGTTATTAGAGCACTTCTGTCATTAGAACATTACTGTCACCAAAATACTATTATTATTAGAGCAGTACAGTAAATATAGTTCGACTGTCATAAGAGCACTACTGTTATTAGAATTTGACTGTCATTAGAGCACTACCGTCATTAGAGCACCACTGTAAACAGAACACTCCTGTCAATTGTGCTCTGCTGTCATTTAAGAATTTTTGTCATCTCAACATCGAATCGTGACAAGCTCACGACAACCTGTTCGATGTTTCAATTAATGTATATGATCACAAGACACTTAAATTCACATTATATTAAAAAAATCAATACAATCCTTTGACAATAAGATATTTGAAATTTAACTGTCTCGCTAATGCTGGAATGGATTCAATTAGAAGTTTGAAGGAACAACAATGCTCCAGTAGTACTAACATTGTGTTTGGCCACTGAAATTCTATACGTTTTCTTTATGAGTAAAGGTCTATTTGCTGACTTTAAGAGTACTGTCTTATTCGCAAAGCGGTCACGTTGGAAATGTCACTTCGGTCAGCTTGTGGGCTAGTGGTCGCGTTGGACCTGTATCCATGTCAACCGTGGCTTGTCTAGTGTTGGTGTCACCCGTGGCTTGTCTAGTGTTAGTGACTCCCATGGCTTGTCTAGGGTTAGTGTCACCCGTGGCTTGTCTAGTGTTAGTGACTCCCATGGCTTGTCTAGTGTTAGTGACTCCCATGGCTTGTCTAGTGTTAGTGACTCCCATGGCTTGTCTAGTGTTAGTGACTCCCATGGCTTGTCTAGTGTTAGTGCCTCCCATGGCTTTTCTAGTGTAAGTGTCTCCAATGGCTTGTCTAATGTTAGTGTCTCCCATGGCTTGTCTAGTGTTAGTGTCTCCAATGGCTTGTCTAATGTTAGTGTCTCCCATGGCTTGTCTAGTGCTAGTGTCACCCGTGGCTTGTCTAGTGTTAGTGTCACCCATGGCTTTTCTAGTGTAAGTGTCTCCAATGGCTTTTCTAGTGTAAATGTCTCCAATGGCTTGTCTAGTGTTAATGTCTCCAATGGCTTGTCTAATGTTAGTGTCTCACATGGCTTGTCTAGTGTTAGTGTCTCCGATGGCTTATCTAGAGTAAGTGTCTCCACTGGCTTGTCTAGTGTTAGTGTCTCCAATGGCTTATCTAGAGTAAGTGTCTCCACTGGCTTGTCTAGTGTTAGTGTCTCCAATGGCTTATCTAGAGTAAGTGTCTCCACTGGCTTGTCTAGTGTTAGTGTCTCCGATGGCTTATCTAGAGTAAGTGTCTCCACTGGCTTGTCTAGTGTTAGTGTCTCCGATGGCTTATCTAGAGTAAGTGTCTCCACTGGCTTGTCTAGTGTTAGTGTCTCCGATGGCTTATCTAGAGTAAGTGTCTCCACTGGCTTGTCTAGTGTTAGTGTCTCCAATGGCTTATCTAGAGTAAGTGTCTCCACTGGCTTGTCTAGTGTTAGTGTCTCCGATGGCTTATCTAGAGTAAGTGTCTCCACTGGCTTGTCTAGTGTTAGTGTCTCCGATGGCTTATCTAGAGTAAGTGTCTCCACTGGCTTGTCTAGTGTTATTGTCACACGTTGCTTGTCTAGTGTTAGTGTCTCCCATTTCTAGTCTTGTTTTAGTGTCAAACTTGGCTTATCTTGTGTTAATGTGATCACTGGTCTGTCTAGTGATAGTGTCTCCCATGGCTTGTCTAGTGTTTGTGTCGCCCATGGTTTGTCGTGTGTTTGTGTCTCCCATTGCTTGTCTAGTGTGGCACCCTTGGCTTGTCTAGTGTTAATTTCTCCCATTGCTTGTTTAGTGTTAGTGTCACCCATGGTTTGTCTAGTGTTAGTCTCCCCCGAGGCTTGTCTAGTGTTAGTGTCACCCATGGTTTGTCTAGTGTTAGTCTCCCCCGAGGCTTGTCTAGTGTTAGTCTCCCCCGAGGCCTGTCTAGTGTTAGTCTCCCCCGAGGCTTGTCTAGTGTTAGTCTCCCCCGAGGCTTGTCTAGTGTTAGTGTCTCCCGTGGCTTGTCTAGTGTTAGTTTTTCTCGCATGGCTTGTCTAGTGTTAGTATCACCAGTTGCTTGTCTAGGTCTAGTGTCATCCGTGGATTGTCTAGTGTTAGTCTCCCTCATGGCTTGTCTTGTGTTAGACTTCACCGTGGCTTGTCTAGTGTTAGTATCACCAGTTGCTTGTCTAGGTCTAGTGTCATCCGTGGATTGTCTAGTGTTAGTCTCCCCCATGGCTAGTCTTGTGTTAGACTTCACCGTGGCTTGTCTAGTGTTAGTGTCTCCAATGGCTTGTCTAGTGTTAGTCTCCAACTCGGCTCGTCTAGTGTTAGTCTCCCCCGTGGCTTGTTTAGCGTTAGTCGTTCTTGTGGTTTGTCTAGTGTTAGTCTCCCCGTGGCTTTTCTAGTGTTAGTCTCCCCGTAGCTAGTCTAGTTTAAATGTCTCCCGTGGCCAGTCTTGTGTTCGTACAGAGTAGGTTATCTTGGTATAATTGAATCTTTTGTTCCCATTGATCCTGTACGATGTCTAACTACGGTAAATCCTATTGATGCCGCCATTAAGTGTGGTACTAAGTCCAACATCAAATCAAATAGGAAGAATGGCGTTAGAGCGATTAAGCTCGTTAAAACCTTTTGAACAAATAAATTTTATATTCCACGACAATGCAGAAAAACAATTACAAAAGCATTAAGAATAATTTTATTATCCTAACTGGAGTGGACCTGTGCGTCCTCAACGTTGTGCATGAAGTGGCGTACCTTTCACGACCAGGTGAGGGGTAGTCTTTAGCAAGGGTTGCCTAGTATCACTTGAAGGTGGTGTCACTGAGAGATTGTGTAAAAAAAGTGAGATTTAGATAGACGATAGAGAGAGAGAGAGAGAGAGAGAGAGAGAGAGAGAGAGAGAGCGGGCAATGAGAGAGGGGGGAAAATATAGAGATAACGGGAAAGAGATAATATGAGAGAGAGAGAGAGAGAGAGAGAAACTGAAAGAAAACGTGAGAGATAGAAAAAAAAATTAAGAACAATAAAATGGAAAGAGAAAGTGCATTATGGATCCATTATAAAAGTATGTGCGAGTTGCCATGGGTTGGGATGGATGAGTTTATGTACAGTATATTGATGTGTCTCCCATCTCAAATCCGCCTATGTTTCATAAGCTGGCCAGTTTTTGCCAGTTTCTGTCACCTCTGTCAACTATAAAGGCACACGCTTTGGCTGCTCTCAACATCCTTCAACATCGTGGCCATCCTTGAGATCTGAGAAGTTCTGCCGATTACAAGTCGTCTGTTGAATCCCAGCTAACATGTAAGTCATCATTTTCAGTTAGTTTGGAGATCTACTCAATCCATCTTAAATACTCATGTGATGTCACTGAAATTTTTAAAGGTCTAAAATAATTCAACATATTTTCCGACTCAACATGTTTATATGAAGTTTAGAAACAAAAATTTCAGTTGTGTTAGAGTGCCAATGAAATTCTTGTCTTTGAGAGCCAATGAAATACTTGTCTTACAGAGCAAACGAATTACTTTGTAGTGACATTTGACATAAGCTTGACCCATTGTGATCATGGCTGAGTGACCACACAGAAAGTGGTGCACACAGACAATTGATCAGACAAAACGAATGACAACGTGGACAAATGATCACACGGTCAAGTGATCACACGGAAAAAAACCACACGGACTTATGAACACATGGGAGAACTGACCACATGGAAAAGTGGACACGCGGACAAGTGACCACATGGACATAGAATAACACAAAGAAGTGACAACATGGACAAATAACTACACAGATATGTGAACACATTGACACGACACCATACAGAAATGTGAAACCACAGACAAGTAACAACACAACGAATGGCAACTTAGACAAAGCACAACATGGACAAATGACGACATGGACAAATGACGACATGGATAAATGACAACAAGGACAAATGAAGACACGGACACATAACCACATGGACAAATGACGACATAGATAAAAGACGACATGGAAAATTGATGACATGGACCAATGATGACATGGACGAATGACGACATGGACAAATGACGACATGGAAAAATGACGACACGGACAAATGACGACATGGACAAATGACGACATGGACAAATGACGACGTGGACAAATGACGACACGGACAAATTACGTCATGGAAAAATGATGAAATTGACAAATGAAGAACGGACAAATGACGACATGGACTAGTTACAACACGGACAGGGCACCAAACGAATAAAATGGCCACGCGGATAGACAACTGATCTCAAAGACAAATGACAACATAGACAACTAGTCTTATAAACAACTGATCTTATAGACAAATGACAAAATAGAAAAACAGTCTTATAGACTACTGATTTTAGAGACAAATGATAATATAGAAATCTGAACTCCAAGACTAGACACATGATTCGACAGACAAATGTCCACATAGACAACTGAACTCAAAAACTAGATAAATGATCTCACAGACAAATTAACACATAGACAACTAAACTCATAGACTAGTCAAATGATCTCATAGACAAATGACCACACAGACAACAGAACTCATTGACAAATAAAAACATAGACAAAAGGTCTTATAGACAACTGATCTCATAGACAAAATACCACGTAGACAACTGAACTCATAGACTAGAAAAATGATCTCACAGACAAATGGCGACATCGACAACTAAACTCATAGACTAGACAAATTGTCTGATAGACTAATGACTACATAGAAAACTGAACTCATAGACTTGACAAATGATGTAACAGATTAATGACCACATAGACAATTGAACTCATAGACTAGACAAATGATCTCACCGACAAATGACCACATAGACAACTAAACTCATAGACTAGACAAATGATCTGACAGACAAAGGACCACATAGACAACTGAACTCAGAGAGAACTGAAATCATAGTCAACTAAACTCATAGACTAGACAACTGATCTCATAGCAAATGACCACATAGACAACTGAACTCATAGTCTAAACAAATGATCTTATAGACAAATGACCACACAGACACTTGAACTGAGAGAACTGAACTATTCGACTACTGAACTCATAGAAAACTGAACTATTCGGCTAGTAAACTCATAGACAACTGAACTATTCGACTACTGAACTCATAGACACCTGAACTATTCGACTACTGAACTCATAGACAACTGAACTATTCGACGCTTGAACTCATTTCAACTTAACTATTCGACTACTGAACTCATATACCACTGAACTATTCGACTACTAAACTGATAGACCACTGAATTATTCGACGCTTGAACTAATTTCAACTAAACTATTCGACCACTGAACTCATAGACAACTGAACTATTCGACAACTGAACTCACAGACAACTGAAAAAAAAATTACTGTCTATAATACGAATAACATTTATATAAGCGTCTATTACACGTATCTTGTACATATTTTCTACTGATGGGGAAAAAAATGACAGGCAATACATTGGATAATAACTATTGACACTGGTACAATGACTGGCAATACATTGGATAATAACTAGTGACACTGGTACAATGACTGGCAATACATTGGATAATAACTAGTGACACTGGTACAATGACTGGCAATACATTGGATAATAACTAGTGACACTGGTACAATGACTGGCAATACATTGGATAATAACTAGTGACACTGGTACAATGACTGGCAATACATTGGATAATAACTAGTGACACTGATACAATGACTGGCAATACATTGGAAAATAACTAATGACACTGGTACAATGACTGGCAATACATTGGATAATAACTAGTGACACTGATACAATGACTGGCAATACATTGGAAAATAACTAGTGACACTGATACAATGACTGGCAATACATTGGAAAATAACTAGTGACACTGATACAATGACTGGCAATACATTGGAAAATAACTAGTGACACTGATACAATGACTGGCAATACATTGGATAATAACTAGTGACAATGGTACAATGACTGGCAATACATTGGATAATAACTAGTGACACTGATACAATGACTGGCAATACATTGGATAATAACTAGTGACACTGATACAATGACTGGCAATACATTGGATAATAACTAGTGACACTGGTACAATGACTGGCAATACATTGGATAATAACTAGTGACACTGGTACAATGACTGGCAATACATTGGATAATAACTAGTGACACTGGTACAATGACTGGCAATACATTGGATAATAACTAGTGACACTGGTACAATGACTGGCAATACATTGGATAATAACTAGTGACACTGGTACAATGACTGGCAATACATTGGATAATAACTAGTGACACTGGTACAATGACTGGCAATACATTGGATAATAACTAGTGACACTGGTACAATGACTGGCAATACATTGGATAATAACTAGTGACACTGGTACAATGACTGGCAATACATTGGATAATAACTAGTGACACTGGTACAATGACTGGCAATACATTGGATAATAACTAGTGACACTGGTACAATGACTGGCAATACATTGGATAATAACTAGTGACACTGGTACAATGACTGGCAATACATTGGATAATAACTAGTGACACTGGTACAATGACTGGCAATACATTGGATAATAACTAGTGACACTGGTACAATGACTGGCAATACATTGGATAATAACTAGTGACACTGGTACAATGACTGGCAATACATTGGATAATAACTAGTGACACTGGTACAATGACTGGCAATACATTGGATAATAACTAGTGACACTGGTACAATGACTGGCAATACATTGGATAATAACTAGTGACACTGGTACAATGACTGGCAATACATTGGATAATAACTAGTGACACTGGTACAATGACTGGCAATACATTGGATAATAACTAATGACACTGATACAATGACTGGCAATACATTGGATAATAACTAGTGACACTGATACAATGACTGGCAATACATTGGATAATAACTAATGACACTGGTACAATGACAGGCAATACATTGGATAATAACTAGTGACACTGATACAATGACTGGCAATACATTGGATAGTAACTAGTGACACTGGTACAATGACTGGCAATACATTGGATAATAACTAGTGACACTGATACAATGACTGGCAATACATTGGATAATAACTAGTGACACTGATACAATGACTGGCAATACATTGGATAATAACTAGTGACACTGGTACAATGACTGGCAATACATTGGATAGTAACTAGTGACACTGGTACAATGACTGGCAATACATTGGATAGTAACTAGTGACACTGGTACAATGACTGGCAATACATTGGATAATAACTAGTGACACTGGTACAATGAGCGCTTTTAATGGATTCTTTATTTTTTTTTAAAATAAATTTTTACAACATTGAAATCGTCCTTAAAAGGTCCCTATTGTGTTGTATCTTTGTGTTCTTTAAAAGGAATATAATCCATGCATTGTTATGCATTGACTCTCGTTTGATGATATTTCATGGAGTTTACTTTATATGTTTGACCATGAAAATATAACCAGTAGGACTGCAACAGCATCCTAAATCAGTGAATTTATGGTGCTAAAGAGAGAAACAAAGATAGAGAGAGAGAGAGAGAGAGAGAGAGAGTGAAAGAGAGAAGAGGGAAAGAGAAAGAGCGAGAGAGAGAAAGAGAGAGTGAGAGAGAGGGAGAAAGAGAGAAGAGGGAAAGAGAAAGAGAGAGAGAAAGAAAGAAAGAGAAAGAGAGAGAGAAAGAGAAAGAGAGAGAAAGAGAGAGAGAAAGAGAGAGAGAAAAAGAGAGAGAGAAAGAGAAAGAGAGAGAAAGAGAGAGAGAAAGAGAGAGAGAAAGAGAGAGAGAAAAAGAGAGAGAGAAAGAGAAAGAGAGAGAAAGAGTGAAAGTGAGAGAGAATTAGAGAAAGAGAGAGAGAAAAAGAGAGAGAGAAAGAGAAAGAGAGAGAAAGAGAGAGAGAAAGAGAGAGAGAAAAAGAGAGAGAGAAAGAGAAAGAGAGAGAAAGAGAGAGAGAAAGAGAGAGAGAAAGAGAGAGAGAAAAAGAGAGAGAGAAAGAGAAAGAGAGAGAAAGAGTGAAAGTGAGAGAGAATAGAGGGAGAGAGAAAGAGTGAGAGAAAGAGAGAGAGAAAGAGAGAGAGAAAAAGAGAGAGAGAAAGAGAAAGAGAGAGAAAGAGAGAGAGAAAGAGAGAGAGAGAAAAAGAGAGAGAGAAAGAGAAAGAGAGAGAGAGAGAGAGAGAGAGGGCGAAAGATAAAGAGAAAGAGAGAAAGAGAGAAAGAAAAAGAGAGAGAGAAAGAGAAAGATAGAGAAAGAGAGAGAGAAAGAGAGAGAGAAAGAGAAAGAGAGAGAAAGAGAAAGAGAGAGAAAGAGAAAGAGAGAGAAAGAGAAAGAGAGAGAAAGAGAGAGAAAAAGAAAAAGAGAGAGAGAAAGAGAAAGAGAGAGAAAGAGAGAGAAAAAGAGAGAGAGAAAGAGAAAGAGAGAGAAAGAGAGAGAGAAAGAGAGAGAGAAAAAGAGAGAGAGAAAGAGAAAGAGAGAGAAAGAGAGAGAGAAAGGGAGAGAGAGAAAGAGAGAGAGAGAAAAAGAGAGAGAGAAAGAGAAAGAGAGAGAAAGAGTGAAAGTGAGAGAGAATAGAGGGAGAGAGAAAGTGAGAGAGAAAGAGAGAGAGAGAAAGAGAAAGAGAGAGAAAGAGAGAGAGAAAGAGAGAGAGAAAAAGAGAGAGAGAAAGAGAAAGAGAGAGAGAGAGAGAGAGAGAGAGAGAGAGAGAAAGAGAAAGAGAGAGAGAGAGAGAGAGAGAGAGAGAGAGAGAGAGAGAAAAAGAGAGAGAGAAGAGAGGGAGAGAAAGAGAGAGAGAAAGAGAGAGAGAAAGAAAAAGAGAGAGAAAGAGAGAGAGAAAGAGAGAGAGAAAGAGAAAGAGAGAGAAAGAGAAAGAGAGAGAAAGAGAAAGAGAGAGAAAGAGAAAGAGAGAGAGAGAGAGAGAAAAAGAAAAAGAGAGAGAGAAAGAGAAAGAGAGAGAAAGAGAGAGAAAAAGAGAGAGAGAAAGAGAAAGAGAGAGAAAGAGAGAGAGAAAGAGAGAGAGAAAAAGAGAGAGAGAAAGAGAAAGAGAGAGAAAGAGAGAGAGAAAGAGAGAGAGAAAGAGAGAGAGAAAAAGAGAGAGAGAAAGAGAAAGAGAGAGAAAGAGTGAAAGTGAGAGAGAATAGAGGGAGAGAGAAAGAGTGAGAGAAAGAGAGAGAGAAAGAGAGAGAGAAAAAGAGAGAGAGAAAGAGAAAGAGAGAGAAAGAGAGAGAGAAAGAGAGAGAGAAAAAGAGAGAGAGAAAGAAAAAGAGAGAGAAAGAGAGAGAGAAAGAGAGAGAGAAAGAGAGAGAGAAAAAGAGAGAGAGAAAGAGAAAGAGAGAGAAAGAGTGAGAGAAAGAGAGAGAGAAAGAGAGAGAGAAAAAGAGAGAGAGAAAGAGAAAGAGAGAGAAAGAGAGAGAGAAAGAGAGAGAGAGAGTCAAGCAACCATATCAATGACTACTTGGTTCATCCTTTCTTTCGGCTAAAAACGAAGCCAAAAAAAAAGTCCAGTATAGCCAAATATTCCTTAAACTTTGAGACTGGTTTGACATGATGAGGGTTTTCCTACTCCATCATCCACCCTACAAAGAATAACACGTGAAAAACTAAATTACCGGATTCGTTAATTGGACTTATCCAAGAGCATGGGACAATTGTTAGGATCTAGACTCCAAAATGGAATCTTCTAGAAAAAAGATTTTAAATTACTCTCTATGGAAATCGCCACTAGCAGATGGAGCGTTTCTTCAGAAGGGAAAGGCATCTGGTATTCTGTTCCAATACCGAGAGCCTTAAAAATTACTCATGACGCACAAGGATAAAGGCTGTTTGTAGAAATTTCGAATCTGTATTCTTGCACAATGGAAGACCTTGTTTTATTTATACCGTTAGAATTAGATGATGCTTTCCACATGAAACGAACAGATGATAGCTTAAAGCAGCGACTGTATACAACGTCATTTGGCGTCATTTTCTAGTGCACATAATGTGTAGTCGATTTACATCTAGCAGTCGGTGTCAGAATGACACACATTCTCCTCACATTTCCTGGCTAATTTCTCTACTGACAAGATTTGAAAATATTATACCCTCGAATTTAACTTAAAAACACTTTGTTTAGTTCCAGGAAAATTATGAAGTTTCTCGGGATTTTACTGATATCTGTATTGCCCTTGACTTTGTCGGAGCAACCAGCGCTGTCTTCACTCCCATTCTTCTCATTTTTCGACACCGCATTTGACGGAATCGACCAAAATCAAAACGACATCTTGGAACTTACAGAGTGCATTTCAAGTTTTCATGTGAGTCATATATCCTGGATATAAACTTATAAATAAAAATTAGGGTGTTTGAGTCTGGCAAATAGAAACAGATGGCGTTAGTAGTACTAATACGGTGTCTTGAAAAATAAATACATATATACATCATTTAGAAATAAGTATACGGTTATTTATTCAGGGAAAGTAGAAAGAGAAATATGTCGCTTTGAGAGCTGTTGATGTGTTGATCAATTTATTGCATTTAGATGAATTCATATAGTATTTAGTACGTTTGAAATAGTGTCGTTCAGAGCGCCTTTAAGCTTCGTGATTCTGGAAATAGAAATAGATGGTGTTTAGAAGTACTCATACAGTCTGGGGTGATCCAAACAGAATGTTTGAGATGCTAAACATTTCCCAAAGGACATATTCTTAATCTCAGATCACGCCATCAAATTCCTTTTTAATTAGCATCAATTGGATGCATCAAATTTTTCCATCACCAGACTACATTGTGTGTCTTTTTTTTAATTTTAATTTTTTTAATTTTTTTAATTTGATCGAATTCTAAGTTGTTAGATGCGATAACCAATCACAACATTTTTTTTAGCACCTGACATTACAGCTAATTACAAAAATTGGCAGCCATTCAAGTATATTTGGTTTACGATTTAAATATCTAAACAAACAAGACATGGTCAAATTAAACTTGAAGGGGATGGGTGGAATTTTTTAAGCGTCCGAAGAAGGAATTTTTGCGCCATGTACATATAACAACTGAATTCACTCCGCTTGTTTCGCCCCCCCCCCCCCCCCCGGTAACCATTTAACACAAGCCGAGATACACTTCCTTAATGCAATTTTGACTGGCATTAGAGAACGGTGAAACAGAAATTGAGGATGCCGAACTCTCTCAAGCAAAAGTGGGGACTGGTTCTCCATAGAAACATTTTGATTTAATACAAAATGCAGCGATGTATTTTGGTGCACAATTGAATTTGTTGTTTCTTTGAGACAAGTTGAAAGGGGGGTCAATTTAAACTTCTGGTGGGAAGCGCTATAATGAGCCATAATAAAGATCAAGGTCATCTCTAGCGCCGCCCAAGCCCAACATTAACTAAACTCATTCCAGCTTTTGCTCTCTAGAGTATACTTTTTGCTCTACTTTAGTGTCGCCCTTTATATCTTTATAATTCCCAGATCATTTTTGATAAATTTGATTTACAGGAATAGATTTTTGCACGTATAAAAATCTAATTTTGCAACATTCTATACTTATTATGAATGCAACGGGAAATGTGCTAGTTAAGAAATTAGGTTTAACTTTACCAGAGAGCCCTCGTTTGGGCCTTGCAACAATCCGATATTTTAGGGGCTTCCAGTTGTGTTGTGGACACAGTTTAAGTTATCAAATTTGAAAGTAAGGTGATGGTAGGAAAAACGGAAAACTGGCAAGGGGTCCCGGAAACTCCAGCGACTTTTCTGCTTGACCTGTCTATGCAATAGAAATATATGTTTGTAGATTACTTAATAACACTATGTTTTTTCTTTTATTAAAACTATTTTTGGGGTCAACTACGTAGGTACTAAATAAATCTGAGGTTTTATCTTTTATTTGAGATATTTTTGGGGTAAACTACTTAACTACCGGTACTAAATTATTTTTTTAAACCTTTAATAAGTTATCTATCACAAGAAAGCACTGCCAACATTATTTAGAATGTTGAATGCAATGAAATTTTTGTATAATAAACATTTGCTGAAATATTTCCTTAGTTTTACATTAGTCGAACATAAAAAACCATTTAAATAATGTTTGGTAGAAAGATCTACACATTTTAAGGAATTTAGAACTGGTTAATTTCATAAATAGTATGATTATGTTAAGAAGACATGAGTTGCTTACAAAGAAACACAAAAAACACAACAAAAAAACGAAGAATATTATATTAAATGTGTGAATTTATATGTGTTAAATTCTACCAAAAAAAGTATACATTTCCCAAATTCAGTGATTAAAATGTTTAGTTGGAATTTTAAACAACTATAACTTTCTTCAGATAAGTTTTAAATTGCCGTATCAATATACTTAACATTTTCTTTTTAAAAAAATCAATAGAATTTATTGTTAAATAATGTTAAATAGACGATTTAAAAAATACATTTTTTCTATAACCAGTGACTTAAATGGAATTGGCCTTATGATAATCGAAATCCTATTTTACAAAAAAGTTTATATATTTAAAACAAAATAAAAATTTTTAAGCTTTCAACTGTATTTTCATTTAAGAAAGAAAAAGGACAAGTTAAAATTTTGTTCAAACATCTTCCATAAAATGTCATCAGTTTACTTGTAATTTTGTAGCAGTATCCTGGGCAACTTGTAGCTCGTCTTGGAGTGCTCTAACTTCTTCAGCCTAAAAAAAAAAAAAAATTTTTAAATTTTAAAATGAATTTTAATTAAAAAAAAAAAAAAAAAAAAAAAAAAAAAAAAAAAAAAAAAAAATTGTATTGATAGATGGGGGAAATAGTTAATTATTCTGATATTAAAAATATTATGTTAAGTTTCTTTTTAAAACTCTGTTAATCAGGAAACTGTGCTACGAAAGTAGTGCATTTAAAGAAAACTGAATAACTTTCCAATTAATAATATCTCTTAAAACGTGCACTATTTGTATGCAATAGTTAAGTTCTTCATTTTAAAAGACAAAATAAATAAATTGTCATTTTTTTTTTACCTTTTATGTTATCTGGTGCAACATACAAAAAATCCAGTACATCACAAATTATGTAGTAAATACCTATACCTTATCAAAGCCGAACGCCATCATTGATATAATGGTAACTTTAAATCCTTACTTTAAAACTCATGCTTTTTATGATGAAATATAATTTAAAAACAGTGCAATAGTTCGACACACAGGAGAAACTATGTCAAAATTATAGACCTTCATATTGACTTAAGCTAGATTTTTTTTAAATACCGTTTTACTAAAGTAGTTAAGCTTGTAAAGTTGCAAAATCAAAAATACTGATATATGCGAACAACACGATGTAAACGTTGGCTTACCATCAGACGACGCCAATTTTTTTTTTAAACAGTGATCAAATAGTCAGACTGTGACAAGATTAGCCTTAAATATACGGGACATCAAGTATATCGAGCATGGAGATATTTCATTGGCTGTACCATTAGTAATAGCTTAGAGGGACTCATTTTTTTTCTTTTTAAAATATTTATAATTACAATTTAACATTTGTTTAAATAAAATATATTTTAGTTCTATTGTTGTAGACATCCCCGACCCCCATGGGGCAGTACCCCATTCCCCCAGGAAAGATGCCTCAAAATAAACCCACTGATTTTAATGATCGCCTTTGGTTCCTAGAAAGTATCCACACTGAGAATCCTAGGGGAACTCCAACTTTTGTGCAGATGGCCGCATTAGAATTATATTATATCTTTAAAAAAAAATATATATTTAGTTTTCAAGGATTCCATAGATATTTACAATACAAAGTGAGATAAAAATTTAATAGTAAATCTGAAAACTAGCTACAATACGAGTCCGTAGCAGATATAGAGATGTTGAATGAGATTTTTGTATCTGCAAAAAATTTACCTTTTCCCGGTATCAAATATTTGATATCTTTAAAGAAATGAATTTTAGGCATGTGTTTGTATCTTTACGGGTTTGTGGGCTGAAAATAGAACAGGAAATATCTGTTTAAAAAAAAAAAAGTGAAATTGAAGAATGTCAGAATCGAGTAAATCTTTGAACACATCTGTTTAACTATTTTAAAAATTCAAACTTGTTCACAGACTAAATGATGTTGACATATTTATATTTATAAAATATAAAGAAACAGCAAACACATGTAAATAAACATTTGTATGAAAGTCATCTTTTAAAAAAAAAAAATGACATCGAAAGATCCAGATTTATAAATGTCAACTTCTTATTGGATGAAAGTTGATCATTATTAAATCAAATGTTATTGTTGTCAACTTCTTATTGGATGAAAGTTTATCATTATTAAATCAAATGTTATTGTTGTCAACTTCTTATTGGATGAAAGTTTATCATTATTAAATCAAATGTTATTGTTGTCAACTTCTTATTGGATGAAAGTTGATCATTATTAAATCAAATGTTATTGTTGTCAACTTCTTATTGGATGAAAGTTGATCTTTATTAAATCAAATGTTATTGTTGTCAACTTCTTATTGGATGAAAGTTGATCATTATTAAATCAAATGTTATTGTTAAGGTACCTTTGAAAAACGGTTATTTTGCAGGCATTTAAAAAGAATCCAACCGACAGCAGCATTGGCAGGGAATGGTTCGCTGAATTTATGTTACGCCAAAATGTAAGTGATGCTTTAGCAAATCACTTTTTCGCAAATTTTGACCTTGATAAGGACCGTGACTTAGATGACTTGGATTTCAATGCTATTTGCACGTTTATGAACAAGAACAGCGACGCTCAAGTTACCCGTGAAGAATTTATCAGGTGAGCTAGTTGAAACTCTTTTTTAAACTTTTGTTAATTTAATAAGCATTTCATCAATGCGAATTTAGCCTCCGCTTCTTTGCAGCGCTGTTTACAAACTATAAATTATGTTTTAGATTCTTTTTGGCTTAAATATCTTGTACAATTTGTTCACGGTATCATACGACCAACATTTCCGGAGCCGACTCCTGAAACATTAAGTTACACTAGTGCTAATAAGTACAGCAGTTTTCATTGTGAGTAGTTCATCTTGAAAGTTCTAACATCTTTAGAGATACAGCGATGTCAAGAAATCTATCGATTGCTGGAGAGTCTGTGTCGCTATTTCCTTCATTGGGAGGTTCAATCAGTTAATTGGACGTCATCATCATTCTCTTGGTTGATTGGATTTTCCACTTTGTTATTTGGACATGTAAACTAATTGTTGGAAGACAAAATGATTACCATCATCTTCGTATAGATTTGTTTCTTCAACACAGATTGTCCTTATTTGTAAAAAAAAAAAAAAAAAAAAAATTTCCTCCAATAAACTCATATAACACACTTAATCCATACAATGCACACTATTTAAAATACTTAAGCTTAACAATGCACATTTTCATATACAAACTTTCAGTTTAATGAAACACTCACAAATTATATTACGTTTGTTAAATCATTTTTTTCAGATATGGTGACGAAATTCTCAACAGATTTCAAGAGTGAAATGTCAACTGAAAATGATCCGTTCTGCTACAAGACATCCCGAATGACATTAGAAAACTAGAAACACAGATGAAAAGTTTTTGGCATTTATTAGATTGAACTAAAATGGAAACAATAACAATAAAAATCAATGATTGTAAAGTAAAATATCATCTTACAGTTTTGTCTGTTTGAAAAATGTTTGAAAGCTGATAGGAAAAAAGTTTTTAAAAAATCACGAGCGAAAGAAAACTGAATAAATGACTGAACGCTTTAACAATGATTGAGTATTGTTAACTTTTATTGAATTTTAGCTTTTTAATATTAACTCCTACGATCCCCACACAATTTGTTGGCACCCCTGTCTTCTCACATGGTTGTGAGCACCTCTGTCTTCCAACATGGTCGTAAGCACCTCTGTCTTCTCACATGGTTTTGAGCGCCCCTGTCTTCTCACATGGATGTGAGTACCTCTGTCTTCTCACATGGTTGTGAGTATCTCTGTCTTGTCACATGGTTGTGAGTACCTCTGTCTTCTCTCATGGTTGTGATCACCTCTGTCTTCTCAAAGGGTTGTCAAAACTCTGTATTCTTACATAGTTGTGAGCACCTCTGTCTTCTCACATGGTTGTGATCACCACTGTCTTCTCACATGGTAGTGATTACCCCTGTCTTCTCACATGGTAGTGATCACCACTGTCTTCTCACATGGTAGTGATTACCCCTGTCTTCTCACTTGGTTTTGATCACCTCTCTCTTCTCACATGCTTGTGAGCAACACTCTGTACCATCATGGTTGTTTGCGACCATTCCACGTCACAATTATTCAGTTAATATCTTTGTTAGACTCATTCCCACAATGGACACATAACAACTCTGTTATGACTCAACTAAATTATTTTCTATCTATTTAACATCAAGTTTAATTCAGATAACTTTGCCATTAGAATGAAGTTAGGCGTTTTCAAATAGCCGGTTTGATGGTGTTATGAACAGACATGTCCGGGCATTTAGCAGACATTTAATCCTTTTTAAAAGGGGGCGCTTTACGTTAGACTATCGCTTAGCAATCAAATCACCAATTTCATCAACAAGAGCAATATTTGCAAGTGAATTCAAATTTATTTCAGGAAATATAAGATTGTTAAAAATCACATCTGTTCATCAATTTATTTGTTCATAAGTTCATCTAATAGTCCGTTCATCATTTTCTCTTTCCATCAGTCACTTCTTTCAAAAGCTCATTGTTCATCTCTCATACTTAAATCTGTTCAACTTTTAATATGATCATTTGTTCATCAGTTCATCTGTTCATTTGATCATCTATTAAACGTTTAACCTGTTCACATCTTTCCATCGGTTAAACTGTTCATCTGTTAATCTGTTTGTCTGTTAATATGTTCATTTTACCATCAGTTCATTTTTTCATTAGTTTACCAGTTAATTTGTTCAACTGTTCATCATTGTATCCGTTCATCTTTTTTTTTTGGTTGCATTTGTTAACATGTTCATCTTTTTATCATTTCGTCTGTTCATCTGTTACTTTGTTCATCATTTCATCTGTTACTTTGTTCATCATTTCATCTGTTATTTTCTCTTGGTCTGTTTATTTGTTCACCATTTCTTCTTTTAATCTGTTAATCTTTTCATTTTGTCATCTCTTCATCTGTTAATTTTGTTGAACGGTTCATCTGTTCACATTTGAACTGTTCATATATTAATATACTGAATAGTTCATAATTTCATTTGTTAATCTCTTTATTTACCATCTGTTCATCTCCATATTTCTTCATCGGTTAATCTGTTAATTTGCGAATCGGTACATGTTTTTATTTGCGTATGAGTTCATTATTTCATCAATCCAACTGAATATCATGTAATCTGCTTATCTTTTCTTCTGATCATCAGTTCAAGTGTTCATTGGTTTATCGGTCATTTTTTCATGGGGTCCTCTTTTCATCCTCTTCAGCTTTTGGTCAGCTCATTAAATCATTTTTTTTTTAGTTACTCATTTCTCCGGCGCATTTGTTTATCAGTACATGTATTTATAATTTTCATTAGTCCATATGTTCAATCTGTTTATCTTATCAAGGTATGTCAACAATAAGCAATGTATAAAATTCCACAAAAGATAAGAACATTATGTAGGAAGCGTTGACCATGTACACATGTAGGAGGATGAGGAGATCACGTCCACAAGCAAGAGGAGAGGAGATCACGTCCACATGTAGGAGGAAGAGGAGATCGCGTCCGTATATAGGACGATGAGGACATCACGTCCACGTTTAGAAAGATGAGGAGATCACGACCACATGACAAAGTTGAGGACATGACATCCAAATGTAGGAGGATGAGGGGATCACGTTTACATGCAGGATGATGAGGAGATCACGTCCAAATGTATGATGATTAGAAGATCAAGTCCACGTGTAGGAGGATGAGCAGATCACGTCCACATGTAGGAGGATGAGGCGATCACGTTCAAATGTAGAAGGATGAGAGATCATGTCTAAAGGCAGAAGGATAAGGAGATCCTATCCACTGGCTGGAGGATTAAGAGATTACATACATTAGCAGGAGAAGTATGAGATAAGATTTACACACAGGAGGATAAGGCGATCACGTCCGCATGTAAGAAAGAGAGTAGATCACTTCCACAAGCAGGAGAAAGAGGAGATCACGTCCACATGTAGGAGTCAGGGGAGCTCACGTCCACATGAAGGAGGATTAGTACATTAAATCCACATCCGGGATAAAGAGGTGATCACGTCCACATGGAGGAGAACGAAATAAAAAATTTTCATGTGGCGATGTACAGCATATTACGTACACAATGAGAAGGAGCTGAACATTTTCACAGAGAGAGTTGAGCAAATTAAGTACACAGGGAAGATGAGCTGATCATTTCCACGGTCAGGGCTGATGAGCTGAATATGTTATCAAGGATGTGGAGGTAATCACGTACACAGAGATGGGGAGCTGATCACGTACACAGAGATGGGGAGCTGATCACGTACACATGGAGGAGGAACTGATAAGTACAGGAAGGAAGAGCGGATCGTATACATATGGAGGAGAAGCTGAACATGTTCACCAAGAGGAGGAGATTAACATGTTCACAGAGAGGAGGAGCTGAACATTTTCACAGAGAGGAGGAGCTGAACATGTTCACAGAGAGGAGGAGATTAACATGTTCACAGAGAGGAGGAGCTGAACATTTTCACAGAGAGGAGGAGCTGAACATGTTCACAGAGAGGAGGAGATTAACATGTTCACAGAGAGGAGGAGCTGAACATGTTCACCGGGAGGAGGAGCTGAACATGTTCACCGGGAGGAGGAGCTGAATATGTTCACCGGGAGGAGGAGCTGCACACCGGCACTGCACAATAAAAGTAAAATTATGATTTTAATATCGATTCAAATCAAACCGAAATGTGTTTTGAAAACATTGTACTTAAATTCAGTTTAAGCATAGCATATAACATAATATCTCATAATATGACCAAAATATCCTTTTGTGATTTATCCTATGTTATCTTCTCTTTACTTATCTTCTCATCTCATTTTTTATTCTAATTTCATATTAGTTGAATTAATTTTAATTCAGGCGATTTTTTCCTCAATGGACAAATTTCCATTTTCAAAAAGTCAAAAATTCAATTATTTTGTTCAAAAATTTTTATACAAGTATGGTATAATAAACTAATTATTTGCAAGGAATTGAAAGATGAAATCAGTCGAGTACATGTGCACTTAAGTTGCTTTGAGGTGCTTTGTGCGCTTAATTAAGTTGAGTTTCAGCCGTGGCGTAGCTATGCTTATGGTTAAAGGCACCCGTGGCAGAGTAGGGTTAGTGTTAAAATGTAGCTCTTTATGTCCTGTGGTCATCCTCTCTTCTAAGCCAGACGCTAACCCGTGGGGCATCCTAGTATCACACAGACCAGTGTAACACAGCAAACACTGAATATATCGATATGAGTTCAAAGTTATAATTTTATTATGCCTCGTCAAACCTGACAGATCAATGTACTTCAACAAAACAACTTGTAAACGTGTGAACGTTCAAATTCACGATCTATCCAGCCGAACCCTCACACACAGAACAAGCTACGCAAATTAACAGCGGCCATCTCTGTCTTTAATCCACAACTAACGCGTCACTTCCCCTTACACAAATGCGTCACGACACTCTTACACAATAGATAAATCTACACATGAAATCTCTAACTAAACATCTTGTCCCTACCAAACATAACACCAGTGATCTACACATAGCAACAGTGATTCTCGTGCCCTTTACAGTTAGCGTTACATGTGGCATACCTATGGTTAGTGTCACCTGTGTCATAGTTAGTGCTAGAGCCAAACTGGGCGTAGTTAGGTTTAGTGGCACCTGTGGCGTAGTTTGTGTTTCTGTCAACTGTTGTCGTATATAGTATGAGTGTCACCCATGGCTGACCCAGGGATAATGGCACCCGTGGCTAAGCTAGGTTTTAATGGCACCAATTGCGTCGATAGGTTTAGTCTTAGTGGCACCCATGGCGTACCTAGGTCTAGTGTTAGTGGCCGCCGTTGTTTGGCTAGGTCTAGTGTTAGTAGGCATTTCTAGGTGTAGTGGCACCCGGGGCGATGTTAGGTTTTGTATTAGTAGCCCCTGTGGTTAGCAAATGGTTATTGTTAGTAGCACTTGTAGTTAGCAATGGTTATTGTTAGTAGCAACTGTGGTTAGCAATGGTCAGTGTTAGTAGCAACTGTGGTTAGCAATGGTTAGTGTTAGTAGCACTTGTAGTTAGCAATGGTTACTGTTAGTAGCACCTGTGGTTAGTGTGGCGGTCTTAGGGGCGGAGCGTCCCTGGCGTGCCGCTTCGCGGCCCGATCGGAATAAAGACCACTGGGGCAATGGTTAGTGTTAGTAGCACCCATGGCCTAGCTAGGGTTATTTATTTATTTATTTATTTAGGCAGTTTTATATAGCGCTTATCATAAAGCTCTAAGCGCTTTACAATTATTAAAACATGTAAACTAATTAAATACAAATGAGACACTAGGATAGTAACTACTTTTCTATCGAAACAATGAAAATGGCTATAAAACGAGGACACTTTGACACTTCAGGATCAACCAGAAACAGAAAATGAGG